AGTTGGTGAAAACCGGGCAGGCCCCATCCCAAGCTCAGCCTGACACGCCCCAGCATCCGCAGCGAGCAAGACTCTATCAGCATATACCCAAAAATGAGGACAAATGAGGACATGAGGACATACCCATGATAAATCCATCATCGGTAAAGGTGATCTCCTTGTGTAATTGGGCACGTTTTTTCAATCGATCTCTACACACCAGCATATGCTCGACGTAGTTCACCATTAGGGCTGGTACAGCCACGTAGAAATCAAAGAGATGGCTGAACTTCGAATCATCCAGGAACGCCCTCCGGAATACCTCTACCAACATCTGAAACGAACTGAGTTAGACAGATGATTATGGACTAACGGGGTATGCTCAAATAAGACCGACCGATATTTTAAAGGAGCGGTCCGCGATGACCTATGAAAATGCAAGAGGTTATGTGGGAAGGTAGTGCGGTCCGGAGTGGACAACCCTGTGCCAGTTTCGCGGCGGAAAGTTGTACGGTAAAGGGATTAAGGCGCAAAGTTGCTTCAGTGGTACATCCCTTTTTCCAGTGACTCCGCCTCCAGACTCCGCCTCCAAAGTCGGCCTTCCAGCCAAAAGTAATGCTCCCGGGCAAGTATCATGGAGTGGATGCATTCAATGTCTCTTGTAGAGTCATAGGGTTCATTACTGGGAATCAGCCGACGGGAATTGTCCCAGCGCGCGGTCTTTTACCTCTACAGTTGTTTGAGGCTAGAGGAGGCCTGACGAATGCGTTTCCAACGTTCCCTTTGGCATTTTCTCTTCATAGATGGTTCACTTGGCGAATTTTCTTCCACATTTCTGCAAAATCACCTAGGCTTTTTATCGCGGACCGTGCCTTTAAGTGGAATGAAACCCAATAACATCCCACCAACAGACATACAAAACGGCACCCGCGACATAGTCATGGCTTGGCACGGGCCCCCGTCTAATATTCATGCTTGAATCAACCCTTATAAGAAGTGGTGGTACCTTTGTAAAGTCCCGGATTCTTGTTGGCCTGTTCACGCAATTCTTGAAGAAGTTTCTTTGCAGTGCTAAGTGGTGAGTCGCCTAAACAACGCTTAGATATTACTAGAGTAACTGTGGAGAGTTCTGATAGTGTTCACCTTCAACCTCGGAAACTTCAATGTCGTCTTCGATCGTATCATAGGCTTTCATCTGGCTTGCAACTGCTGCTGCTCCAGAGGACATTGACCGAACAAAGCCCAAAGCGTTACCCATCTAGGGAGAAACATTACAGCACCACGGCGGAAATACTTCACATGAAGGCAAATAAAAAGGGACCAACCTGAGTGATTAGCATTCTGAAGCGATCCATATAAGTAAGCTCACCACTTTCAATCGAAAGTTGTGAGAAGGCACGATTGAACTGCTCAGCCCGTTTGGGAGGAAACTAAACTCAACGGTACGGAAACATCATGTGAGGGAACACTCCACGCTCATCACATGGGCGGAGACATTCGAACCAATGTGCCCTTCTCATTGGTGGACTCCTCCTTTTAGGGGAAGCAGAAGTAGAAGGAACACCAATAAAGAAGGAGCAATCAACGCGCGACTCCGCCCACACCATAAGCGTGGAATTCGCTTTCAATCGACGAAAACTGGATATTTCGAGGCACGCTAACCATCTTTTTAGAGATTGCAGATTTTCTTGGAAATATCGGATATCCTTCTGTAGTTGAGCATGAATATGTTCGTCTCGGAGGAATTGATTGAAAATTCCAAATTTACTCCGAAGAAACTGAATGAAAAGTTACTAGTTCAGTAGAACCGAAATATTCCGAACTGTTATCGCTTACAATCAAATATGAACCCTCTCTAGCTGAACTTCTTTCATGTCCCTTCCCTCTCCCCCCCCCCCTCCGATCCGAGACACTTCTGCAATTTTTCACTTTCAGCAGAACTCGTGTGTCAAGTTCATTCTCCTGCCCCGTTTAGCCCATGATGCTGATATGGGAAGAGCTCGATGTTCGGTTTGGGAGGGGCATTCTGCACTTTCGCTCGTTCCTATTGCTGCTTCATGTTACCTAGTAGTTCTCATTTTGGGAGATCTATAGATTTGTGAAGGTGCGAAGCGGTCCAGGTGAGCCGCTTTTGTTACTGAAACTTGCAGGTTCTCACGTGGTGACTTGTACTTTGTTTGCTAAGTACCATTTGGTACCTCCACCAATCCGAACTTCCCAGAGATGTGTTAGACCTGCTTGTATCCTCCTTCATTAGTGCATTCCTCTTTTTTAATACGGTAAAAGAAGCAAAAAATACCAGGAAAAGAATGTCTGACGGGAGGCCTGACACCGCCCACACCCAACATGGACTGTGCCCTTGCATGAATAGCGAAGCAAACAAGACTGTGTTCTCTGTAGACACCGACAGAGAAGCTGGCGCAGCTCGGCTTGGTGGAGGCACCGAATGATACTCACCTAGCACGGGCGCTCCTGTGAATTCCTGTGACCAAATGGCTCACTAGTATAGTCTCAGAGCTTTACAAGGAGATAGTTTGAGGTCAGTTCTGAGCTAAGTGAGACCTTGGCCAACGTGAACTAACAAAAGGAGCTAGCGGAATTGCTAAATGCCCCTCTAAGCGGAGCGGCGCCGAGAACGTCGGAACGCAGAAGGATTAAACAAAAGGGAGTTTTTATTGTGGAGTACTCTTATTCCCCATTGCTTCTCTGGAATAGACAGTACATATTTGGAAAAATTCGTTGCGCAGAAAGAATTAGAGGCAGAGCTGATGGCGGAATCAGGCTTATTATCGCTGCGTTTTGATGAACCCTTTCTTCTAAGACGTTAGTAAGGAGAAGGGAGCCACGAAGAGGAGGCGCAATGTTAAAAGTGCTTCTGTCCTTGTCCCAAATTTCGATTTTCGAAGCAAAAATTTAGATTACAAAAATACGTTTGGCACGTTCTGGAAACAATGGTGTGAGGGGGAGCAACTTGGCTACTCAACTAAGTGCATTATCGGAACTAAGTGCTGTAGAGAAACCTGATAGGTGATGTTGACGCTGGTGTTCAGCACCCCAAGGCCATGAGTTCTCATGGAATCTGCCATATGTTCGGCTGTCAGCACACGGAGTGTTCGATTCGGTGACATTTTCTCGATGAACACCTGAACAATTGACAACAATTACTCCACGGCCACCACTTGCCACTTCACACTTATTACGTGTGATTTGGTAGGCGTGGCTGCGTACTTGAAGAGAACGTGGCGTCGACAGAGCTTTTTGTGGATACCTTCGTTTTGGGACCGTTGTAATCATGTCCGACACAAAACCAAATGACAGTTGTCTCAAATTGGAATATCCCACGAGTAAGCCCATTCTATGCCACGTTCAAATGCCACGCCTACCCGTCTCAGGAAGGAGTGTACTTCTATGAAATAAAAAATGGTACCTGCTGGTTCAGGCAGTAGTTGAAGTTCGCGACGAATTCCCCAAGTGATCTCATCACTTTGACCACATCCAAGCTCTGACCAATGGAACAGTTCGGTAACATTCCATCAATGAGGCTCAGTCCATACCTCAAATAGAGGCTCTAAAGGTTCATATAGCCATGATCCCTGCAAGCGATAGGGCGTGAATTGGAGCGCGGCCAGAACAGCCTTTTCCGCCAATGTGGCGCAGTCAGCATGGCATCTTCGGTGGAAAAGGCTACTTTAGCAGCGCTCCAATCTTCCGTCACTACGCTTCACAGCTTGCGAGAATCGTGACTGTACTTCGTGACACATGCAGTTCCCTAACATGCCGGCTGTGAACAGAATTATTTTTTCGGGCCAAATAAGGCTCCCCTTCCTCCACCATATAACACCCTCACCCCCTGAGGACTCCCTAACATGAGTCCTCCTCGATAGCGATAGGATTATCGATTACATCAGAACGTCTAGAAGGGGGGGGAGCGTTCGGTTGGTCGAGCGTCATGAGGATTGCTTGAGCGGAGAAGTATAAATAGCGAGTTCTAAAAAAGTACAGAGAAGGTCTCGAAGAAGACACGATGGTTGACTGTGCCCGCCCATAATGTTGCCGTGGACTGTGTCCTATAGCTTTTTGCCTCAAACTACACTGCGAAAACTAAATTTGGAAACTCACCGCTGTTCGGCTAACGTAGCCATTTTGCTGTAAGCATGGACGATCGTGAAGGAGTTACGGCAGTCAGATCATAGAATGTTTTTGAAGATAACAGGAAACAAATTCTGTAACCAAACCTAATCTCTCCGAAAAGATAGCTTTTTTAAGGATAATTGGTGTCTTCATTTTCTGAAAATCGTCCATTATCCGAAAATCAAACTAAGGACTGAATTTCCTCCAGACCAACCAAGCTTCCACTCTCGGCTCAATCAGCGGCATATGCCTGTGAGGATAAGAGCAGTGATTTGTATCAGCTGCTC